CATGGTCTTCGAACCTTTCACCACTTCAGGACCATTCAAGATTTTTATACCGCCCAAAACTCTCACTTGACCACTTCAGGACACCCTTCACCACTATATATATATATATATATATATAGAGAGAGAGAGAGAGAGAGAGATAGAGAGAGAGAAAGAGAAAGAGGTGGCTGGGCGTCAACAGCAGCAGGTAAGGAAGAAAAGTACACACGATTGCTCTTGTTGCATTAGCATACTAAAAAACAAAAAATTCATCTAGCGCAAGAACGTCAATGCCCACGCAGATCGATGCTCTGCCATGTGGCGGGGCATCGACGTGGCTGGAGAAGACTGTTTTGTTGTACGTGGCAAAGCCGCGTACTAAGCTTTGCTTCTCCTTAGTATCTGGCAAAGCCACATAGTAAGTCGTTGTTCTCCTTACATCGACGTAGGTACAAGTGGGGAAAGGGTGGGCAAAAGTGGGGCATGGGTGCACGTGGGTGGTCATGGGTGGGCGTAGGCGGGCTACGGGTGGATGATATGCTGGTCCTGGCTGGGTTAGATGAAGTTGAGCATTTTTTCGTGTTTCCAGTTAGGGCGGGCGCAGGTGGAAAATTTTTGAAAATACAGTTTTGGATTGGACGCAGTTTGAAAATTGTTTGAATTCCAGATCCAGTTTGGATCTGGTTAGAGATTTTTTTGAAAAGCAAATCTGGTCCGGATCTGGTTCGTAAAAAATGCAGTTTTGGGAGCTGTGGGAAAAAGGGGAAGACGAAAAAAAAGAAGAAAGATTGTGGGGGAAGAAGAAGAAGAAGAAGAAAAAGAAGAAGAAAAAGAAGAAGAAAAAGAAGAAGAAGAAAACGAGGGAAAGGCTCGACGTGCCTGACGACCTCCCTTTTGTTTTTCTTACCTTCCGAGTCTTGCACGACCTGACCAACGTCCACGGTACACAAGCAGAAGAAGAAGAAGAAGAAGAAGAAGAATGGGGGCAGCTCCTGCGAACGGCGATGGATGAAGAGGGGAGCTCCTGCAAACGGAGACGGGCGACGACGACCGGTTCCAGCTGACAACGACGACGGGCGGCGGGCAAGGAAGACGAGCTCCTGCGAATGGCGATGATGAATGACTGGTGAAGGGGGCAGCTGCAGCGAACAGCAACGGGCGGCGCAACTTCGAAAGGCTGCGGGTCGAAGGGGGCAGCTCCAGCGAACACCCACGGACGGTCTGCGGGCAAGATCGCCGCCAATTAAATCTGGGAGGGAAAATTGCAACGGCTCTGTGGCCGTCGATCAAGGCGGATCGACGGCCACAGACCCACCGTAATTTTCAAACCCACTCCTGCAGGCCTATCGGGCCCGATGCCGCGGGTTTTTGGGCCGGTCGGACCCGGTAGGCCTGCGGGAGCCCACCACCGTTCAAAATGGGGTTTGAAAACCCCGAAATGCCCTGCGCGCTGTGGGGGCCCGGGGACCGACCGGGTGCACTGCCCGGCCAGGCCGCCCGGGACCCCACCCAGGCCCCCGCCGGTCCGCCGGGCAGCCCGGAACCCCACCCAGGTGTTTTTTTTTTTTTTTTTTTTTTTTCCGCATTTGTGTTCACATTCTCGGGAGCGGAGGAAAGGACAGCGTCGTGTCAGGCAAGATGTGTGCACATGCAACTTTCCCACGTGGCATCCTATCTTTGCGGACCAAACCGTAGGGGTGGCCGGCCATCGTGACCCCTGGTCCCTTAATGGCTGATGTGGTGGAAAAGGTTAACGTGCTCTGTCAGCTGACGAGAAAAGACACGCGATG